TCCTCTAGCACCTAGCACGCTACCACTTGAGCCACAGTACCACTTTCTGGCTTTTTCTGGGTAGTTTGTTGGAGGTTGAGAGTCTCTCGGGGACTTTTTGTTTGTTTGTTTGTTTTTGGTCCGGTTGTGGGGCCTGAACTCTGGGCCTGAGCACTGTCCCTCAGCTCTTCAGCTCAAGGCTAGTGCTCTACCACTTGAGCCATAGGGCCACTTCCGGCTTTTTTCTTTTTGCTTATGTAGTGCTGAGGAATCGAACCCAGGGCCTCAGGCATGCAAGGCAAGCGCTCTACCACTGAGCCAACTTCCCAGCCCTCTCGGGGACTTTTCTGCTCAGGCTGGCTTTGAACTACCCTCTGAGTTGGAGACATTTTTGATATGTAGCCTAGCCTGCCTAGAACTTCTGGGCTCAAGCGATGCTATTTCATCCTCCTGGGTGGCTGGGACTACATGCATGCACGAGTGTGCTGGCTCTGGATTGATTTATATAATAGACCTTTGGTGGCCTGGGATGTGCCGTAGGCCTTATTTAACTATTCACTGCTTAATCCTGGCAAAATCCCTGTGAGATGGCTTCTTTTACTGACTTACAGATGAGGAAACTGAGGCTCAGGAAACGGAGCCTAGGTAACTTGAGGTTGCTCTATTCCTAGGGATGAATTTGAACTGGGCTCTCTGGTTCCTAAGCCTATCTTATTCACATAGTTCCTCACTGAAGACCCAAAAAGCCAGAGGGCAACCAGCACCTGGGAAGTAGTGGCAAAGGCAGTGTTGGAGAGCAGCCTGGGGAAGATGGGGGATCAGTTGGGCCATACATGATGCCAAAGTCCTCCACTCTGAGCTGCCCTGAGTCGCTGGGGCCCTCCTATACTGTGGCTGCCTGTTCTGCTGCTGCTGCTGCTGCTGCTGCTCTTCCTCCTTCTCCTCCACTTCCTCCTCCTCTCCCTCCTCCCCCTCCTCCTCTTCTTCCTTCTTTGTTTGGTAGAGGGACTCAAACTCAGGGCCTGGGTGCTGTCCCTGAGCTTTTTCACTCAAAGTTAGCGTTCTTCAACATTGAACCACAGCGCCACTTCCTTTTTGTCTGGTGGTTAATTAGAGATTAAGAGGCTCACAGACTTTCCTGCCTGGGCTGGCTTCGAACCAGGATCCTTAGATCTCAGCCTCCTGAGTAGCTAGGATGGCTGGCTTGTCCTGTTCCTTCCTTCTATTGGTACCGGTCCGAGGGGGGCCTCTGTCCCCAGCCATCATTGCCCCGGCCACTGTTCTTACTTGGCTAGAATGTTCTCTCTGCACCCTGTGGGCTTAGCTGGGGTGGCTTGTAGTGGAGTCTCAGAGTGTCTGTCCTTGGGCCCCTGGGAAAGGTGGCGGTGGGCCGGGAGTGACAGCGGGTGGCTTCTGATGGCTTTTGTACAGTGGAGTTTGGTGAGGACTATGTGAACGTCCCTGAGAGCAGCGAAGCGTCCCTGGGTGAGTGACCCCTGCCCCCCCCAGCCGCCCCCAGCCCCTTTCCCTCTCTCGGGGATCCTGCCCACCCCACTCCATGTGGCCTGGCTGCCCTCCTTCTGAGCTGTCCCCACAGATGGCAGCCGGGAGTATGTGAACGTGTCTGAAGATCTGCCGCCAGAGTCTCGGACGGAGCCTGGTATGTGTGGGGGCAGGAATGGGGTGCTGCTGCGACCCAGACAGATAGACTGCAGGGTGAACACCAACTTGCCCTGTTCTGCTTCCCTCACAGCCGCCCTGCGCCCCCTGGAGATGGAGGAAGAAGAAGGAGAGGCTCCGGATTATGAGAACGTGTAGGAACTGAACCCGGGCCCTGGTGAGTGGCCTGGCTGCCGGCTCAGGCCCTCCCTGAGGACTTCTTTCCTGACCACCCCAATATCTAGGCCTGCGCCCCATGGTTCTGAGGCCCTCCGGTCCCCCCGGCCTCCTGAACTCACCATTGTGTGGCAGCTGAGACATCCCAGAAGCAACTCTGGGGAGGGCTGAGCAGGCGGCCTGAGAACCCCTAACTTATTGTCACTTCTTCGGGGTCCAGTCTGTGTCCCCGACACTCTGCACCTTCTGACGCTCTGCCTGAGAAGGAAGTTCTCTGTCCCAGCCCCCTCTGTGTCATGGAATAAAGGACCCCGAGGTCTGAATCCTCTGTGCTGTGATGCCCCAGGAGCTGAGGATGGGGGGCCGGGGAGGGGGCTTCTGGTCTCTGAGTGTGAGTGTATGTGTGAGTGAGTGTATATGTGTGTGTATAGGAGAGTGGGGGGGAAGCGTATACTGTGTGAGTGAGTGTGGATTATATTTGAGTGTGTCAGGGTATATGTGTGTATGCAAATGAATGTGATTGTGTGTGTGTGTGTGAGAGAGAGAGAGAGAGAGAGAAAATGTTATGTTTCTGTGGGATGCATCCTCTCTCAGAACTCCTGATAAGCCCTCGCCTAACACAGATGGTGCTGAAACCCCGGGACACTGTGGCTTGTCCTCCCTCCCTCCCTCCCTCTCTCTCTCTCCCTCCCTTCCTTCCTTTCTTCCTTCCTTCGGCTCTGATACTGGGGCTTGAACTCAGGACCTCATACTCTCCCTTGGCTTTTTTTTTTTGCTTTAAGGCTGATGCTCTACCACTTGAGCCACAGCTCTACTTCTAGCTTTTTTGCTGGTTGGACCTAAGAGTCTCAAGGACTTTCCTGTCTGGAC